ACCCAAATTACACCCAGTGTCTTCACTGTGTCTTTAGTTCTGGCGGAGCACTGTGTTCTCCACACACGCCAGCAGGGAGAGGCTGCAGGGATCAAGAGAAACAATTACTGCAGAGTGACTTACAGGTAAGATTGGAGCGTGTTTGCTTTACTGGCACAAAAGTAAAAGCATCAAGTGTAAATGTGGGGAATTAAAGTTCGTGTGGGCCAAATAATAATGCTGATGAAATATTAATCATGTTGCAAGGATTATTTTTGATATAGTAAATCCCCAGATGAGCGATAACTCTCGAAAGATTGTTGGCTGTGATGATACATACTTTGAGGGGAAAAGGTGTGTGTGTGTGTGTGTGTGTGTGTGTGTGTGTGTGTGTGTGTGTGTGTGTGTGTGTTACACAATAGGTGCTGGGGGGCATAAAGCTGTATAAATGCGTGGAATTTCCCTCATTCATTGGTGAAGGGGATCCACACAAATAAACACATTAAACACTTAATGTAAATCCAGTGATATTATTATTTGGGGTAAAATACAGGATAACAGATTCTAGATAAAACAAACAGTGGGACATTTTGAGAAAAACACTTATTTGCTTTGTGATGGAGCACAAAGACTGTAAACAGGATTGAACAGCTATAGCCTCGCTCTCACCAAAGGTAACACAACCCACCTACCAGCACCTCTGAGGCACATTCATCATAGTTTGAAGTTATAGCTCATTTAATCTGTACAAAAACAAAGTGTCAGCGTGACAAATTTAGATTTGTGGTTGGGGACAGGAGGGGGGAGAACGTTTAAAATCCACCTGGCAACTTTGTTTTGTTTGTTTCAAAAGAGTGTGTGTTCAATAAGTGGGATAGCGCAGCGACCCATTTCTTAACTTTATTAATTAAATTTCCCATGTAACCTCATGACATAAGCTCAATGTTCAATTTAATGACTTTTCTATGGTGTTGAGTGGATGTGAACAAATTGAATAACTAATAAGTTACACAAAAGTTGTGTATCAAATGTATATCAAATGTATGAATAAGTGTTACTTTGATTAATTCACATTTACAGTAGGTGATAAGGTTACAAGGAAAATGTATATCTAATTTGAATACATGCAGTTTAGCATTTTTAGACTAAATCATTTTGAGAGTGCACACAACCATCACAAACTTTTACCAAAACAGATGAAATGTAAAAAAAGTGTACAACTAAAGTCAAAATACCTCCATGAGAGCTTTTCAATAGTTGGAATGATATAGATTATAGGTTCCTGATTGGGTTATAATAACTGAGGAGAATAAAGGGCTCAGGCACCTCCGCACAGAAGTTAGCAATCAACATAACAAGGGGCATTTTGACTATTAAGACCACCCATCTGGGGCCTGTGGGGGGGTTCAGGGTTTACAAAATGTATAGAGAGACCATATTTATACATGTGTTGCAAACACAGGATCATATAAGGAAAGTAACATGCTCATCTGGTTGCTCTAGTTGTTGTCCTCTCAGTCCAATTCTCTCTATCACAGATCCACATAATTTGATGTGGATCCCACATGAAACTGGGATTACTGAACAAGATGACAGAGGATGAGCAGCCACAAATTGCAGGGAGCCGGGATTAGCTGGGTGCAGTTCAGACGAGAGGGAGGGAGACAGTCTGTGGCACGGTACCCAGGGAAAGACTGAGGTAATTACTTTCTTCCCCTCTGTAGGGTTCGGCCTCTCTCTGCATTTTAGCGTGTTTGCATTAGACTGCCCTAAACCTCTCCAGGCGTCGGACGAAGGCCTCTGACATTTCTGGCCACGCGTTGACACAAATACGACATTTTCCACGGTCCACCGCTGCCCCAGCTATCTCTGAACCGAGCCCCCGTTTAAATCATTCAGCTGAAATCCAAAACCTGAGATTTCCATACTCTCTGAAGACGGCGTGTTTGATGAATGTTTCCTGGCCTCTGGCACACTTTTGTCTGGGACTCCATTTGATCATTCTCACCAGCGCCTGACTCTATAACTCATGCAGCAAACACAAACTGCAAATGAATCGGGTTTTTTTGACAGGACGGACACAGCTTGTCCACAGTTTCTTTCTGGATTATGGTGGCTACCTTTGAGGCCTTTAAAACCCCCTGTAAGTCTCTGATCAAGGCAGATAAAGAAGTTGACATGTGGGCATGTGGTTAAAATCTCCTCTGTTATCCCTCAGTCAGCACAGCCTCCCTGAAAATGAGGACCTTTCTCCCTGATCCCTGCGAACAATGCCAGTGCCACACACCTCAAGGATTCTTTTGAAGTTTCAGACCAACCTGCGCCGCTGTCTTGGGGTCCTATCTCCCTGAAACAGATCTGAACACAGATAGCGAGCGATGTTTGAAAATACATACATGTTGAAAACCCCTCTGTGTTATTGAAGCTGGGGGAGCTCAAAAACAGGAATGTGATCGTGTGATAAAGATGACAATAAAGCAGCAGAGGCCATTGAAAATTCACTTATTGTTTATTTTCTCACTGGAGCCCTCATTCTTGGGATTTTACGAGGCACTTTTTGGCTTCGCCTGGCAACTTTGCATCCTACAAAGTGATCTCTCACATTTTTTAACCGTTGATGTTTTGCTGGAAAGTACAGAAATGTGAGGTTTCCCATTGTTTTTTCCTTAATGTAATTGTGTTTTTATTACTCCTCATTCCACATTTACAGTGTTTATAACCAATACGGCTCATAAAGATATGCATTTCATACACCCGCACCACATAAAATCTGTTTATACACTCTGTAAACTACACATCATTTTATGTTGTGGTTCACTGCCAGGCCTGCCAGAGAGGATGGGTGAAAACCAAATCCTCATTTTGGTTTTCACGGCCTCCGTCTCTTTTAAGCATGTTGAATGGAGAGAATTACAACTATGCCCAACTGAACCTGGACCGGCTGCAGTTTCCAGAACTTACTTTTGATCCAGAGCGGAAATCACATTCCAGTGTCATGTATTAAAGCTTTGTTTAGCCTTTCATTCATTACTCTGAGGGAGACAGATGTTTGGCCAGGGTACGTACTTGTGTCTGAAACATGTGGAGGGCAGCACCACTATGTGTGGACGGAGACATCGAACATAGACTGCAGATATTACTCCTTGATGAAAGGCGTTTTCTCTCTTTCTGTTATAGTCACGCATTCAGGAGCTTTTATTCCTCCCACAGAGCGATCACAGCTTCTGTGGTGTGTGAAGCAGAGCCGCTGGATGACAGATGTTTTTGGGGAATGTTGCCTCAACGAACTTGGGTATACTGTCATGGCATGTGCGAGCAGAACGAGACACCGCGGCTCAAAAACAGAAGCAGGTGCAGTGCCCGTAAACATCCACATCCAAGCGACAAGCTCACATAGGTTACAATTAAAACAAGATGTCCGGTGAATGAGTCAGCCTGACACGCATATGTGCAGTCGGAGCTCGAGGCTCGGCCTTCAGGAGCGGGGACGGCTCTGGAGCCTTCGTGGTTTAATGTAGTTAAGGATCATGTCTGCAGGATGAGCCCCAGAGGTCAGTGGAAGAAAAGTGGGGTCTGTCTCATGATTCTATCAAAGGATTACCACTTCCTCCTTCCTGTTTACATCCACTTGGCCGTACAGCTGCGCCCAGAATCCAACCTGAAGGAGTGTTCCTGCAGATAGCCAACGTCAATTACAGCCCTGTGTTCAGAGCCATTTCCTCTTCATCACTCATTCTCACATTTAGTTTATCTTTGGGTTTTGGTCTCTGTGTGTTGGTGGATTTATAACTCGTCCCTTCTCAGATTCCCCCCCGAGGACTCTTCCGTCTGTGTGCCAGCTGTGTGGCAACACAACACACAATGAACAACAACGTCTAATCAGGCACTAATGAAAAACTTGAGGTAGGGCAACATTAGGATTAGATACAGTCCATGTACTGAACTTTACTTTATGTACTCACACTACTGGCCTTGTATTCTTCATCAGGCTCACTTCATCTCTATCAGACATTTTCTTATGTACTTAAGCATTGACACACCTTTACATTATGTTACAAACTATTTCTTCTAATCAATGTTGTAAATATTATAATTGTGTTGATGTGTTCAGTTACACACAGCATCTATTGCACTTCCGTTCGTCCTGGGAGAGAAGTCCCTCACGTGTGGCGCTGTGAATATGGGCAATATGAATACAATTTGATTAGCTCATACTGCACCTTAGTTAATTGTCTCAAAGTAATCTATTCATCTATCAGCTGCTCCCTCTGAGATGAAGGGAGGAAAATAACAGTTTTTTACTACCACAGAGCATTGCCGTCTATGAATGTTTGCACTTCCTCTCTTAATCCCCGGGCTGCCACTGAAGCTTTCATCTCCTTCTGTGATCTCTCACTCTTTGAAATGAGCATCTCCACACCTGCTCATCCCAGACACTTAAACAGCACCGGAGCTGTTAAACGCGCTCTCTCTCCCCCTGCACCCCGCATCCTCCCTTTGTTTGGAATTCCACCGGTCGCTCCGGCCAAGAAATGCTTTACTGAGCTAGCTAGAAAAGAGTAGAGAAACACAGAAGCTCCTCACATGTCTGACAGTAAGTTTTTTGTGCAGATGAGTCTGTGAATCTGCTTTTTGAAACAGCCCCTGGCTTTAAGGCTGGAGGCAGCAAGTGGATACATTTCTCCTCACTTAAACTTTTGCACAGCAGTGTACATCTCTATTATTTCCCCACATGTCCACAGTGATGCATTACATACGTTGATAACATCACAGGAGTACAGAGGACAGTTTCTAGGACAGACAGCACCATCAACTGAAAAAAATATGCAACTGCACGATTGAGGAGCACTTTCAGGTCTGTCATGTACATTTAACATGTGGTAGATTCATTTGAACTCAGGCCTGCAAACAACGTGCAAAACTAAGACAAGCAAGCGCCGTATTCTCGTAACTATTAAACATCTTAAAGTCTTTGCCAGAGAGTGAGGTTAAGCATTAAATCACACAGTACAAATTAATGTGGCTGAGTCTACTTGACCCAGTTTCTGTTTTTTAATGGTTTACAAAAAGTAACTCAGACCGGTCTGTTCTTTCTGCTCAGTGAGGCCAGGGTCCATCAGTGCCCTGGAGACCTACGTGGTTTTATCACAGAGCACTTCATCCACTGTCTGCACCTGCAGAGCTTCTTTCACTGTTCACCTTTCTGTCCATCAACCTTTTCTGTGGAGGGAAAAGAAGTTAAAACTGTGGATTAGAGGGAGATGATGGGGATGGGGAGCTTCATTAGAACTAGCCACACAGACTCACCTTTAGGGATGAACTCCAGTGAGCTGCTGAATATTCAGAATCGTGACAGACCCTCTCTCGGCCCGTCGTACAAGAACTCGTGGCCCAATCCATTGCCACACTTTCCACAACAAACCTGGGACAATTGAATGAAACTCTATTCATTTAGATCACACAGTTAACAACAGGTACAGTGTTGAAGTTAATTCCACTTGTCCCTAATTCAACAAACATTAGGTAATGCTACTTTTGCATTATCTACCTTTATAGGTCCCCATGCTTCAGGCTGTTTGGAGACACTGTCCTCGTGGATTGTTTCTGCGAAAGCTGGCCAAGGAGACGAGTGCTCAAACTTTGACCTGCTGGAAAATAACTTGTGCCCACATTCAGAACACACATATATACCTGAGAAACAAAAAAGACACACAGACTTGTAATTGTTGTGCTACAGCAGCGCTCCATTCCCCTTGACCTGAAACCTTGTGCTTTCTTTTTGTCACTCACCAGGCTGGAAGTGATTTTTGTATTCTTCTCCCCCAGAAAAAGAACAATATGACATTTCATCCATGTTTCAGTCCCTAAAAACCAAGATTAGTTTCCCTTCAGTGAGTTCAGCAGCACGTTCACAAAGAACCACCCGGCCTAAACTGGAAATATAACACCCCCTGCATGTCCAGGTCATGTGTCAGCAGCTCCCTCCTGCTTGTGCAACACTTCATCTTATTCTCATTACTTCCACATGATGGCAGTGCTTACATGGCTGAGCAGTAGAGGCAATGGAAAGGCAAGGTGAGTGATTGAAATCTTGAAGAATAATTATTGAGAATACGTGTCATTTAATAAATATAATGATAACATAATAAGTACGGCAATTAATAAAAAATAAACAGAAGACTTGATTTACAGCGCTTTCATTTCGTCCCAGAAAAAGCAACATTGTCATTAACAAGATTAACAGGAGGAATTTTAATGTTGTTTTTATTCAAATATATTTATTTCTGTTGGTATTTGCATATTACTTAGTTTGAACCGTTACATTTCAAGAGTGACACCAGTAGCCAGAGACACTGCTAGCATTACCCTCAGCATTATTGCACTTGAATGAAAATGTGATTTATTTTTCGTAATTTTGTACATTCAGCCCATCAAACTAAAACACACAATTTAATTTAAAAAATACATGAGCACCTAAATCTAGTCTTAGATTTAGTTAAAAAGCTACAAATCTTAACCTAAGACTAGATTTAGTCTCAGATTTCAGTCTCACGGTTAGATATAGCTTAAAAAAATAACAAGAGACTATCAATGTCAATCAGCGTAAAAACTGACAGTGACTGTGTGATCAGTGAAGTTTTCCAGTTTACTGAGTTTGTGTTGATTGCATAATACTAAAAAAAGGCGCTGAGACCGGTCTTCTGTTCTCGCTGTCCAGTGAGGCCATCAATCCTTCAGAGGCCTGGTGCTCCCAGACTGGGCTTTGTTCCAGAACTCCTCATCCTCTGGCCACACCTTCAGCCGCTCAAAGACACTTCTCCAAGTCCAGCAACGCGCCCCCCACCCACCAGCTCACCTTACTGTCCATCAACCTTATCTGAGGAGAGCAAAGAGAGACAGGGAGATGTGGGGTTGTGAAGGAGCAAATTTCCAGCAAACACAACTAAATCTTTGCCTTTCTCCATTAAAAATACTTTTACAAGGTATATCAAAGAAAAAACTTAAAACTTGGTTTCAAAACACATTTCAAGAGGAAAAATTACTGCATAAAACATTGCATTACTAGATTACTACACTCAAGTTCTTTTCTGCTCAACGGAGAGATGGTATTTGAAAGTAAGTTGGTATCGGTGCATTTCTAGAGTCTGCATGTGACAAAGTAGAAACTTCGGTGATATAATATGATTCTGTGTTGTACCTTTAGGGACGAACTTCAGTGAGCTGCTGAATATTCAGAAGCGAGACAACCCTTTGGCTGGCCCATCATTCACAAACTCATGGCCTAGTCCATTTCCACACTTCCCACAGCGCACCTGGAACAACACATCACACACATGTGAATCAATCAGGACCTTGTGTAACGCTGAGTTTGACACTCAGCCTCCTCGGAGGGATACAAGTTATCTGAGGGTACCTTGTACGCTCCAGGTCTCTCCTTGTGTTTGGACACACTGTCTTCGTGGACGGTCTCTGTGAAGGCTGGCCAGGGGGAGGAGTGCTCATACTTGGAGCGGCTGGAGAACAGCTGGTGATCACACTTGGTGCAAACATAAATCCCTGAGGAGTAAAGGATGAGAAATTATGACGAGAGAAATATATTAATAGAGATCTGACCTAATATTACTTGAGCACAGGTGCTAGGTTAGTATTAATACTAAATTATGGTAATAATCAGTTCCTGTCATTTCATATATTTAAAATGAACTTTGAATTTGAACATCACAGCTAATATTTCTTTGTAATACTGATTATGAGCTTTGTATTTGTGTTCACTCAAAGGTGCGTTTCTTGAGAGGTGCTGTAACTTCTGGTTACTTAAGCTAACTTCCATCCTGTTTGATAACACAGCTGTTGTGTAACAGCCACATGCCTTCTTCACAGATTCGACCTTCCCGGATCAATAAGTCATAAGCGAAAGGTTGTTAAACCTCTTCCCCACCGTAGTGAGGTAGACAACGAGCCACATCCTTATTTTCATCATTCATTTGTGTTTTAACAACATTTTCTTTATGACGTATTACTGATCCGAGAAGTTCGAATCTGTCTCCAACTTTACCAAACTCGTTTCAATGGTTGTTTACAAGTTAAACGTGTTATTATCTCCCTGCCTGTCCTCGTGTGAACATAGCAGCAGTCTGCAGGAACACAGAGGGAACACAAAGACAAACAAACACAAAGACAAACACACACAAAGACAAACACACACAAAGACAAACACACACAAAGTGATTTGCTCTTACAGGTGGTGGTTAGCTAACAGTGCTAGTTATCGTTAAGTCCATTTCTGCTAAACAACAACTGCTCCGCGAGGGAATTTGAAGTACAATAAAGTAAAAGTTGTGAAAGTACCTGGTTTAAAATGGTCTTTAAAAACTTCTCCGCCGAAGAAAGAGCAGAACGACATCACTTCGCTGTTGTTTGTCTGATGAGCTTCTTCTTCCTGAGGGAGGCGGGGACACGTGCAGCAATCACACCTCTTCCGGTGTGGGGATCTTCCTTCAAAATAAAAACCAGAGCTCCGCCATGAAGCCGTAACCATGGCGGTGCTTTCAGGTGAGCGAATGACGTCACTCTGAACTAGCTTCACTTTTCATCCTAAACAAATGATATTGAAAAGTTTCACAGAGTACTTAAGTTACACAGAGTACTGCAGAACACAAAGTATGACAGTCGCAGTGAGGGCAACCATGTTTGGAATTGACGCTCTTATTGTGAAGGATGGAAACCAGATGTCACACTGAGGTAACATCTGTCTGGAGACAGCCTGTTGGATCTCTGCTTGGATCTTGTTGGATCTCGGCTGCTGAGAAGAGGGAGACACAGCTGATCTTGAATATTTTTGAGCCATGAGCGCCTCCAGGTTCAAACTGAAGTCCTTCCTCAACCAGCGGCTGTTCGTGACGGGGGAGGAGATCTTCGGAGAGATGGAGAGAACCATCACCTCAGCGCGACACGGAGCCGGAATGAGTCGATCCACGGAGGGGGTGGAAGGTGTGAGACCCCGAATGGAAGCCGGTGAGGAACTGTGTGCTGCAGGGTGACGTTCGGCTCATCACCTTCAGGGCTGCTGATGTAGCTGCAGAAGTAGCCTAGCTTAGCCTAGGAAGTTGCCATTGCGCACTTCCTTTGCGCATGCGCAAAATATTGGCTCTGCTGCAGTAGCATCAACACTAAAGGTAGATCACAGCAGAGAGTAGGAGAAACAAGTAAAACCCAATGAGAGGACATCATTTCAAGGATAAGACCAGACGAGATGAGACTATATTGATCCCACGCTGGAGAAATTCCCCTGTTATAGCAGCAGATAGTCAGACAGATGGTGACAAGAGAATAAAAACATACTTGTGTTTTACTGCTCTTATTAAAAGCCCACTGAGCGGCCTGCAGTGTTAGGTGTAAAGTGTTCATGAGGGGGACAGCTTTTGGAGAAATACTATCCTGGAATCTGGTTGTTCTTGTCTTTATGTGCAGACTTTGTGTAACTTTTTGTTTCTGTCCCTTTAATGGCTACAGCACGTCCACTAACCAGCAGCACCACAGAGCCAGGAGACCAATGTAACCCCCCACTGATGCAGCAAAACCCAGGACACTCCACACCGGACAAGACTAACCTCAGCCCGGGTGCACAGTTACCAGGACTCTCACAAACCAGCACTGGCCTGGACTGTAATAACTGGAACATCAGCACTGGAGACACAGACAAGATTTTTCAGATAAAAGAGGAACTTTTGGACGAGAGTCAAACACAGGAGATTGTTTTTCCTTCTCCCGTAATCATAAAAAGTGAGCAAGATCAGCAAGAGATGCAAGTGTCACATGAAATGCAGCCAGGCTCGTGGAACTGCTCTGCAGCGAAGAGTGAGAAAAATGACAGTGACGAGGAGCTGGTTAACAGGAAAGGAGAACCGACCAAGACAGTGAAAGAAGATGGACAAATATCACAGGGAAAACTTGTAAATGACAATAATGGCCAAGCTGTATTGCCTAATAAGAAACTTTCCACCAAAAATCTCAAAGATATCAAGTTTTGCCATTTGTGTGGCAAGTCATTTAACGGCACCTTGATAAAGCACATAAAAACACACCAAGCACTAACTGACTGTGACGTTTGTGGGACAAAATTCAAGAACACAAAACTGTTGGTAACTCATTTGAAGCATTTTCACAAAAACACATTTTTGTGAAGTATGTAGCAACACGTTTTACAGCGGTTGTTCTTTGGAGATTCATGAGAAAATGCACACAGACATGAAAGAGTTTCCTTGTCAAGAGTTTTATACTAACACTCATCTTGTAGACCACGTGCGGACCCATACTGGGGAAAACCCATATCAGTGATATCTGTGGAAAGGCATTAAGTCAGAGCCAGATCCTCACAGTCCATCCTGGGGAGAGGCCGCATCATTGCAGCCTGTGTGGCATACGTTTTAATGAGAGAAGTTACCTCAAAGCACATGAGAGGCCATTCAGGGGAAAACCCGTGCCCGTGTAATATTTGCAGTAAGCGTTTTCCTCAAAGCTGAAAGTTGATGAGACACAGGACCACACACAAGAAGAGATGTGTGTATAT